TGTACATGGAGGAATGCAGATCAGAGAGATATTTTGAACCTTTGTTGGAGATGGTGGTGTGGTCTTGCATAAGTTTATCCTCTCTGATCCATTTCTATTTTTTTTTTAATTTATGCATACAGGAACTGGGATACAGGCCAGAGGTGTAGGGGGTGTAAGGATTCACCACAGAGTGGGGAACAGAACAGGCAGATTGACTGAAGTACACTGCTGAGGAGAGCAGCGGGCAAGTCAGGAGAGGTCTGCTGCACAATGTGGGCTGCTCCCTGGCCGACTGAGGATCGAACCTGTGCTACAGTGTCCATGGATAACTTCATAGATTGCATCTTAACCCCTTGTGCCATCAGGGAGACCCCTCTGATCCATTTCTAAAGAGTGTATGTGTGTGATTTGTGTGAGTGTGTGAGAGAGACAGAGAGAGAGACTCATTACAGAGTTTGGGTAAATGAAAGCAAACCTGCTTTTTAGTGATTAAGTATGAAAAATGCTTAGAGACTGATAAAAATGATTTCCCTTTGCTGGTGTCTAAAAACATGTACATTGTAGAACATGTTCATCACTTTGATGATAATAGACAGATTGAAAAGGGTTGATGTTTTGGATGGAAGTTGCCCTTGTACAGTTGATTTGAACACTGGATATAATTGACTATTGCTCAGGAAAATCTTACTTTATTTGTGAACTTAGGACTTTTTATTTTCCTTCAACAATGTCTTTGATAATGTTATTTTTCTGTTGGTTCATTTGAGTTCAATTTGCTAGTAATCTGTAAATATTTCTGTCAGACTACCTGTTCGACAGTTGACTTAACTCTTCGCAATTGTACACAAATACACAAAAGTTGTAATTAATATTTCAGGTATAATTTCAGTAATCTTTAATCCAATAGATTATTTGCTACACTCAGTGTAATAAGAAAACATCATCTTCCTCACCTTCAAAATGATTGAACTAAAATAAACCACATGAAAAATTGGATGCATCTTTCTGTTCTATAGAAAATTTCTTTATGTAAATGAATTACTTCAAATTAAAATACTTAGCCTATTAGCTGAATTGTCTTTGGGAGTACTTGAAAGACTATGCATAGTATTAGAACTAGTCATGTTCTCATGCCTTTTTTATTTTGAAAGCATAGTACATAATAATATAATATTTGCATTTAATTGGGGTGGTTGACCCCGTCCTAAAAGACTGAGCCTGAGTTTAAGGAGAGAAGCCACATAGTTAAGAAGCTATAACCTTCCACGGTTTCTTCTTGTTGAGACTGACTAAAGCATGAGTTGATACAGCTCAACTAGAGCTGCCAGGAGCAGGCATGGTGTGATAACAATAGGTGCACTGTTCCCGTGGGTCACAACTTCTCTTGGTTGTGAACATCTTTAAGAATCAGGAAGAAGTTGTGATACCTTTGCTCTTCTCTGTAAAGTTTGGCATAGAATTCTGGGGGAGTTCACATAAATTCCTTGAATTCCCTCCATCTATTCTTCCCTCCCCCCAACTCCCACAGTTCATGGACACCATTAATGTAGAGTCCACTCAACATGGGGAGCCTTCTTCTCACCGGACTTAGCCACACTTTGATTTTTTTTTTAAGTGGCAATGAGTCAGGCATAGCTAAACACCAGGAAATAAGGCCTATCAGCAGATCTTTATGATACAATAAGAAATACATACTCGCCTTTGTCCCGACTTCCTGGCACACAGCTCTTAAAATCCTTGCAAATCTCTGAATTGATGGAATGTATTGTGCTAATGGGATAATTGGTGGGGACCCTGAGATAGAATTTCAGGATGGAGGCTGGTTGCCAAAAAAATGAAAGCATGTTTAAAAGATTGGAACTTTCAGCCCTACCTCAACCTCCAGAGAGGGGAAAGGGACTAGAGGTTGAGTTAATCACCAAGGCCGATGATTAATCAACCATATATAATGAAGCCTTCATAAAAACCCTAAACAATAAGGTTCAGAGAGCTTCTGCATTGATGAAGTCGTGGAGGCACTATAGGGTGGCGCACATGAAGGGGGCACACTTGCTCTGTGCTTCCGATACTTTTCCCTACGCGTCTTTTCCATTTGGCTGTTCCTGAGTTGTCTCTTCTGTCAGAAACTGGTAATAGTAAGTAAAGCATTTTCTTGAGTTCTGTGAGCCACTCTCGCTGAGGAAGGAACTCATGGGAACCCTTGTCTAAGATAACTGCCTGGTGAGAAGCGAAAATATTCCCAGGGGCTTGTAACTGGTAGCTGAGTGAGGCAGACTTGTGGGACTGGCCCCTGAAACTGTTTAGTTAGTGTCAGAATTGGATTGAATTAAATTGAATTGTAGGGCACTCAGTGGGTATCTGGAAAGGTAGAGAAAAAACCCCACACATTAGGCATCAGAAGTGTAGTGAGTAAAAACAGTTCAGAATTGTGCCTGCCCTTCAAGAGTTAATGCAGACAGTGTTCCACAGTAACTAAGAGCACAGACTCAGCTGCTCCATGCCTTCTCACTGCATCTGCTGCAGCTGGCTTTCTTTGGATGCTCCTATGTACTTTTGACATACTCCATTTTAGTTTGTTTGTTTGGTAACTCCTTTTTATCACAATCAGTAAGGGTCTCCTCACTTCACACCCACAAGACTAGCTACCATCAAGAAGGTATATAATAAGTGTTGTTAAGGATGTAAGGAAATCAGAGTTCTTTTACACTGCAGGTGGGAATACAAAATGGTGCAGGCCTTTTGGGAAACGGTTGAGCAGTACCCCAAAAGGTTAAATATAGGGTTTCCACAGGACCCGGCAATTCTAGTCCTTGATATATGCTGAAGAGAAATGAATATGTATGTGTGCACAAAACCTTGTACATGTAACACTAGCAGCATTATTCATAGTAGCCAAAATTTGGAGACAACCGCAAATGTCTGACAGACAATAAATGGATATATAAATGTGGTATGTCCATACAATGACTATTAGTCAACAATAAAAAGGATGAGATACTGATACAACATGCATGAACCTTGAAGACATTGTGCTAAGTGAAAGAAACCAGTCCCCGTAGGTCACATTTTCTATAATTTTTTAAAAGTTTTATTTATTTATGCATACAAGAACTGGGGTACAGGCCAGAGATGTGGAGGGTGAGAGGATCCACCAGAGACAGATTGGGGAGCAGAACAGGCAGATTGACTGAAATACACTGCTGAGGGGAGCAGCAGGAGAGACAAGAGAGGTCTGCTGCACCATGTGGGTCACCTTCCTGGCCAGGGATTGAATTCGTGCTACAGAGGCTGCTGATAGCTTGATAATCCTGCATCTTAACCCCTTGTGCCACCAGGGAGGCCCCACATTTTCTATTATTATTCCACTTACTGAAATGTCTAGAATAGGTAAATCCAAAGAGACAGAGACAGATTAGAGGTTGCCACAGACTAGAAGGAAATGGGAAGTGACAGTTAACAAAGAAACTCTACAGCTATTTGAGGTGATGATGGTTATACAACAATGTGACTATACTAAAAACTAATTAAATGTACACAATGGAACTGTTCCTCCCCCCAGAAGAATCCAGGCTCTGCACCAGGGACTATGGTGATGGTTCTCCGGCAATGTGGTGGTGGGAGACCTGATGGGAAAAATCAAATATTGTACAAAAATGAAAAACGATATAAGAAAATTTTAAAAAGAGAAAAGAATCCAGGCTCGGGGGCCAGGCTGCCGTGTAAATACTGTGGAAACACTAATGTCCCCGGTGTGGGGGCAAGCAATTTGGAAAGCTATCCCAGGAAGCACAGTCAGGAAGTGGGGCAGTGAGACAGGGCAGGAAGGAAAGCCAATCAAGAGGGTAGTAATAAATGAGCTACTATTGTGGGCAACTGAGTCTCAGTCCTGCGGGGGTGCCTTGCAAAGACTGTGGAAATCACAATTGGACTGTGTCAGTCATCTAGAATTGTCCCCCTGAGAGTTGAAAGCCGGGATAGGATGTTCCTGTGAGTGCTGACCCCCAGTGCTGCCAGCCTGCCCAGCACGATGGTCAAGCATGCTCCACAGCTGGACAGACCCTGCAGGCAGGAAAAGGGCAGAGACAGAGAGGGGTAAAGACAGAGAAACAGAGAGACAGACATGCAGGCATTTCAGGCGATACGAGAACTGTCCCTGAAACCCATGGTGACAACCAGGATGACTGAGTAGATATAGGCCCAGCACTGACAGGAGTGTCACTTAGCCTCTCTGTACCTTGGTTCCCTCCTCCTGAAAATGGGGGGAATAATAGCTCCTCTCTCATAAGGGTAATGTGAGCATCAATGAGTTAATATGTCTGCATATTTTAGGAGTCAAAAATACTCATCTTTAATCCTCTATTTGTTTAAACTTATAACTTATCCATGATGATTTTTCTTCTGAATGAATTTCTAGCAAGATCGAGAACGAATCTACTTATTGTATGTTTCACAAAGAAACAAAATCATTACGAGAGCAGCCTTCTTATTAGGCCCCTTTTGGGTTTACCAGCTTTGAATGGCTGCCTTTTCAAGCACGCCATGTGCTTTGTTAGCACATTAGACAGATGCCCATCCAGCAAGTTCTGTGACTGGAGCCTCTCTCTCATCTTTCTCATTCTTGCTGTTCTATTTGATGGAGACTGTTGGTGGGATCCAAGCGAGAGAAGTTCATCGGAGCACTCGCTTGTGTTTTCCTTTGTCTCCTCCTATTTTCCCAAAGCTGTGTCCTACAGATTGTAGACCCTGAGGAGCTTTCTTTTTGTGAAACTTCTGCAGTCTAGGGATTGAAGCCAGTGGCTGCGATCCCGGACAATTCTGAGTTCTGCTTCTGTCAAAGGCGTTTATCCTCAATACATTTCTTTGCTCATGGATGATTGAAACAGTGCAGTTGGTGAACAGCCAGGGGAAATGGGGGGTTAAAAAAAAGCCAACCATATTCCATGGGGTGCAAGGTATCATGATTAAAACGTAATTTAAAGATTTGTTCACCCAAGAAAATATCTCTTGGATTGTTTCAGGCTGTGACTCTTCAATTAACCTGACATTTCACAAATCCAAAATTGCTGTGGATGAACTCTTTACTTCGCTTTGGGATATTGCTGGAGCTCGGAATCTCATGAAACAGTTTAAATCTGTATATGTTCCTGGAGATCATACCCACCAGGCAAGTACCTACATTTTAAAGCAACATTCTAATCTGTGTTGTATTTTTAAGATTCAGAGACAAGAAAAGTTTCCATTTGAACCTCTCCAAAAGGAGGGGACTTGAACTTCAAGTCCCCTTCCAATTCAGAGTGTTGGTTTCCCTGAATCTAAAGGCCTCTCGGTTCATTTGTACTGCAGGTGCGACGCAGTGGGATGAGCTGGGTTGAGAGTCATGCCATCACTTTAAAACTGTGGCTCTGTTAGACTCAGTCTTTGACCTCAGGCAAGTGCCTTCATTTCCATGGGCCCCAGCTACTACTGTTGCCAGATGAAGGGTTGGCCTTGGATGACACCCCCCAAGTTTCTGGATGTAACCAGTCCATAAGAATTTTGAATAATTAGAATAACAAAAGTACCTAATAATACTATGATTAAGAAAAAAGAATTTGTGACGTTAAAAGCATTTGCTGACAACACAAAACCTCTTCCCCGTGGTTCCATGATTCTTATGGAGGCTCTAGAAATATTGATGGATAGTGCGGAAATCACCCACTATGATATGAAAAATCCTGAGAAACTGGCACTCATCCTTTGTTCAATGACCTGATTTTGTGACCACTGCCACAAAATCCAGATAAAATCACTCAGGTAAGTTATGATCTATAGATTTGTCATAAGAAAAATCAGCAATTTTAAGTACTGTGGTATGGACTCGTTCTAGAAGACCTGATAAAACTGGTGATCTGTGATGAACTTTAGAACAAAGAATGTCAAGAAGCAAGTGGCTGCTATCACTGGCAAGAGTAAAATAAACCGCTAGATTATTGAGATCTTTTCAGTGTTATCATCATTATGAGGACTAATTTGACCAACTTCTCATAAACATGTATTAGCTATAAATTCTGGACTTTATCTTTTTGATACCAACACTGTCATTTCTCCAGACCTAGGACCTGGCCTGTGGCCATAGTCTTTGGAAAATAAACATCACCTTGCTGCACATATTGCCCTTCTAGTGAGTTAATAAAATCAACACAACCACTGAAAATCCTAAATGCCAGTGAGCAGGAAGTGGGCGCTAAGGGACTAGGATCTGTGTCTATCTCAAGGGGATGAAATAGACAATGATACAGACACACAGGGAAATGCTGTGCAACCATTAAAGTGAAGGGGAGAGCAAAATACACTGAGCAAGGACTGTATTTGAATACTTGCCTCGATGTTTGCTCCTTGAGGACCTCAAACTAAAACAGGCTCCTGAGCTAGGTGAGGAAGCATGTATTGTAAAATCATTCTGTAAAGCATTATTCTATTTTTGTTTAAGCAAATGAATGGCACGTGTATTTAGGAAAAAATTTAGGAAAAATTTATGATAATTGCCACATGGGAGACAGGAAAGTGTTGTATGAACAAGGAAGAACCCTGATTGCTTTCTCTGTATCTTCATATATAGAGACAGAGGTTTTGATGGGATTATGGTGATTTTAACCTGTTTGGGTTTTTCAGTATTTTAAGTTTTAAATCACAGAGATGAGTCCTATAAGGATAAGGCCTATGATCTGGTTTGTTCATTGCCCTATCTCAGTGCCTAGGGTGGTATCTTGACATAGTGAATACTTAATAAATATTTCTTGGGCACAGATGAATCAGTGCATATATTTTTATCATATAGCAGAGGATTTGTTGGGACACAATCTGTGTTTAATTTTAAAAGGACAAATATCCTGACCAGAGTCCAAATTCAGCTGTGACTGGTTTTGAAGATGGACTTTAGACAATTTTCTGCCCACCCCTTCTCCCAATTTGGTCCTCAGCCTCATGGCTCCAGGAAAACAGCTCTGTGCTGTTTCTGCACAGTCTAGTCAATCTGTCCCAAGCTCCCTGGAATACCCAGGGAAGTACTAGACCTGGTCATGTCCTGGGCTCCTGTTCCAGCGCTGGCTAGTGTCTGGACTCTCTTCCCTGGATCTCAGGGCCCCTGCCAGCCCCAGTCTCCCTCCCAGTGCACTCTTTCCCATGCTGATATACACTGTCTGCCTCTGCTCCAGTTCCTCTGCTAGCGCTAGAGGAATATCTTTAAAGTTCATCCTTGCACCCTTTGGAAAATGGCTCCAATGCAGAAAGTGACACCAATCTAATCATTTTAAGGACAATGCGATTACCTAAAAGGAATTAAGCATATTAAATCTCTGGAATTGCTGAAGGAGTGGGATCTAGGCCAGGTCTTCAGAACGAGTCCCAGAACATCACCGCACCTGGACCCTCCTGGGAAACCGGTACCTTTCCCACAGTCAAGAGAGTGGTCTTATGAGGGGATCGTGAACTGTCATTAAAGTTCTCCGCTTGAAGAATGCACTGCCAAAGCAAGAGACAGCTCTGTGTTTGCTCACTATACTACCTGTGGCGTCTAGCTCAGTTCTTGCCACCTGGTGGGTGGATAGGTGACTGGAAGGATGAATGGAAAGATGGGTCTTATTCAAATGGCATTTCTTATGTTCCTAATTCTTCGTGAGACTTTACACCAGAGCCGCTGAGTTCACAGCCTAGCTTTGTCTCTTACTCGTAGTGTGAACTTAGGCAAGTCATATCACCTCCACGTGCCTGGCTCCTTAAGCAGGCACTCCGTTATGAATATGCTCCGATGGCTAGGTGAGTTCATGCAAAGCTCTTAGGTTAGGAGCGTGATTTAAGTGTTTGCTGTAATGGTTGTAGTAAAGGACAAAACAGACCTTCTTTTTCTTTTGTGGCATTTCATCGTTTCCTTTGCTAGGATTTGGGTTACACAGACAAATTGTCACTCCAGCTGACTGTCCTGTTAACTGTGTGTATGGTAAGAGTTGATCGCTGACACTGTCTGTTTGGAAAGGTTGTGTTTGTAGATGGTGTTGACGGAAAACCTTAATCCCCGGTTTTGCCTGTGCAGCAGATCTGACGCTTTCATTTCTGACTACAAATGTTCCAGTTTAATGAGAGACTTAATCCTGCCTCCTATATGCCACAGTGTTTGATGTGCTGTTGTTCCTCAGTGGCAGTGGCCGGAGAATATTATCCCAGCACCTCCAGCTAAGGAGCTCAAGGGCCCTTTCAGACAAAATATCTGCCGTATGACTCGTGCTTGACGTGCTTTGGCAGAAGTCTCAAATTACTGTGCCGTGTTGCTGGAAAAAACTTCCTGCAGATGCATATTGTCTTCTGTGCTTCTGGCATTGTGCACTAGAGCATGGAGGACCAGCAGTGCCCAAAGAGCTTGATTCATCTTGTGCCTGGTGAAATATGGTTCTCCAGGCCCAGGCTCAATAATCACTGACCCTGGCCACATGCTGTTCTTTTCCAAGTGCTGAGTTCTATTCTTCCCCCTGATTCTATCTACTAACCCCAGAACTGCATGCATCCTTTTTAAAAGAATCAGCATGACACAAAACTAAACTGAGAGCCAGGAAACTTGGCTCTGTCCTATAGTAAACTCTCAATGCCAGTGTGAACTCAAGCAACTAATGTAATATCTTTGGCCTTTGATTTCCTCATATTGAAGTTGCAGGGACTACACTCAAAATTTTTTAAAGTAATCTGCCTCTGTTTGAAGAATGAACGAGAACAAGTAGACAAATGAACCACTTTCTAATCTGCAGAGTAAACCTTTAAGAAGATGAAAGGAGGGGAGAATAGTGATAGTACAGCAAAAAATAAAAATACATAAGCCAGGGAATAGTCAGGCTGCCATGAGCACCCTTTGAACAGATGTTCTTCTGTACAGTCTTGGATTGAAACAAAGGTAATACCCGCTCTACGAGTCTAATTTTCCCGAGTCTAGTTTCCTGGATGTTTGGAGTCAATTTTGCAGAAAAGGGGGAAGCATCTTTAGAAGCAAGGCTGAAAGTTCCTAGCAGCACCACCAACAACCAGTAAAGCCCACATCAGCAGCCCCACTTGCCGGGAATGTGCTTGTGACAGTGACTCAGATTGATTTTCTTTTATTTTTTTTAAAGATTTATTTATTTCTGCTATGAGTGAGACCATCAAGTGTTTTTCTTTTTCTTTCTGGCTTATTTCGTTGAGCATGATCCCTTCCAGCGCCATCCATATTGCTGCAAATTGCATGTGTTTATCTTTTTTGAATTCTGAGTAATAGTTAATTGTGTATAGCAGGAATCTAGAAAACTTAAATAAGAGACCAGGAAAAAGAATAACTATAAGAAAGTAAAAATCAAAATCAACAAACAACTATGAACCAGAGACACTCAATGGGGGGTGGGGGTTGGGGAAAGGAGGGATTGGGGTCAAAATAAGGGGGTTGCAATTATCTGGGGAATATAAAAATAAAATTTAAATTTAAAAAATGCTAATATGCTAAGGATCTATATAATATATAGTGTTTTATCTTAACACTGTAATAAAAAAAACTCTACCGCTGGAAAAAAAAAAAGATTTATTTCTGCATACAAGAACTGGGGTACAGGCCAGAGGTGTGGGGGTGAGAGGATTCACCAGAGACAGAGCGGGGAACAGAACAGGCAGACTGACGAAATACACTGCTGAGGGGAGCAGTGGGTGAGTCAGGAGAGGTCTGCTGCACCATGTGGGAGGCTCCCTGGCTGGGGCTGGAACTCGTGCTGCAGAGGCTGCCGACAGGTCTTAAGCCCTTGCACCATCAGGGAGGCTCAGTGACTCAAATTTTCTTGGAAACCCTAGGCAACCTTTAATGTGCACCAAATTAAAAAAGATGTTGAAGTTAGACTACTTCCTCAAAATTGTTTGTCTTATGTATAATGTCTGAAATTGTTGCTATACTGATATCTTTCCATGAGAGCTAGATTCAGGTCAATGAGAGTCTTCTAGACCTAATCATATATTATGTCCACCACAAAAGAGTAACCAGACACATAAACATAAATATTTTCTTTTTTCACTTATTAATTAAAGACAGTATTTTTATTTTTTTAATTATAAAATTACACATTTTATTACATTGCAAAGATGCTTTTTTAAATAGCATAAAGTTTGGGGGTTAAATTTTTAAAA